TGGGCCAAGGGCGTGGCGGCTATCGTGGACTCGATGGATCCAAGCATCGTGTCAGTTATGTTGAAGAGGAGCAGGAAGAAGTAAGGAGCGTACTGGGTTCCTTTCAAGGGCTAAGGGAGCCGATGCTAGGGCAGCTGATCGTGAGTCGTAAGTGGTGGAGTTATTCGATCGCAGCGTTGAGCTGAAGAGATGAGATAATGGGTTGATCAAAGTCCGATGGAGGGACAAACACAAGATGGTTATGGTGGTAGAAGAGAAGAGAGAGCGACACACATGTCACATTCTTCTTAAAAGGAAAGTAGCTGATGCGACGTGGTAACTTTAGAGCTGAGGTCGAGTAACGAGCATGGACGTGAGGGCAACGGCTCACTCTATGGGTTGCGAAATGTGGATAAACAATCTTGTATGAAAGAGAAAGAAAGGTGAGTACGCTCCGAACAAGGCATCACACTGCTCTGGACAGCTTTTGCTGCAACACCGCATCTTCTTTGGAGAGATGCACAGGGTGGAACCCGTCATACATCCGACTCGAACGAAGCTTAAGTTCGTGTGCTTGGCCCCCTCAGCGAAGCCAGCAAAGCTCCACGCACAAGCCAGTCTTCAAGATTAAGTTCTTTCTGATCCTCACTTCGCTGTTTACTCACCGGGCAGAGATCACAGCAGAGCTCATACGCCTCTTTGTCAGGCAGTTTCGGCCAGAGCCTAGATGCTCCAACAGAACAACATGTTACACTTCGTGTCGCTAAATAGTTCACGGGAGGTTCTGATCAAAATCATCGAGCTGTACCCAATACCAACAAATGCCACCGTGTGATGCGAGATTGTTCCGCAAGATGATAGGGACCGCCCTGCGTTGGTCTGGCGTACTATGACTGCAAACGCTAGCCCTTGATTGTCTCGAAAACGAGGTAAATTGTGAGTGATTCTTTTTCACGTCGGCATCAAGCTCAGGGTCGAAAGCAAGGACGGCGAACACAAGCAGCTGCTTAGAGCGGAACGTGCAGAGGGGCCTATATTCAAGCAGACCTAGTCGCCTTAGGTGGATCTGTCGGTCTGCAACGGCTGCCGCTTGCCACATTGATGCAGACAAAGAGGGCACTTTGCTTCCTTCTGGCTGACTGGCAACGCAAAATCCGCATGTACTGATAGGCAGATTGCCGGTCAGCTCAAAATGCGCTTCGACTGCTTTTCATTTCATAATCTCAATTACATAGATGTCGGTAGTTTATCTGTTTCTTCTCTCAGATCCTTTACTCACGGACCACTTTCGTATGCAATGTAACCCATGTCAAGCTTGCGAAAGGATTGATTTTTGACAATCCGAATCGAATGGTACAGTGGCGGGCAAGGTGTCAAAGGTGCAAAGTGTGACACGAGCGTCTTGTTCGTGCATAATGTTCAACGACCACGTTCGCTCGGCAGTGGTTCTGTGGTCCGTGCTAAAGAAATGTGAGAACGTGTGCTTCCAAAATTGCCGTCCGCTCATGCACGTCAAGGAGCCTGCCATTGGCTCTTGCTCGAAGCCATAACTTTTTGCTCTTGCACTGTTCCTTCCTTCCAATTGATCAAGCAGCAAGCTCAATGCGTTGCTTGGGTTGCTCTTGAGATAGTGCTTTATTTGCTGAGTTTGTCAACGGCCGAGAAAAGGCTTGACCACCTGCTGTATAACGGCCACAGACTCCACTCTGCAGCGCTTACTGCTCCTGCTCTCGTTTGACCTGCGCTCTCGACATGTTCGGGCCATTGGAATGATGCTATTCAGGCCTTCAGTGTCACAGAACAGGCGGTTCAGGCTAGGGTCTGCAGCAGTTCTCTACTGTGATATTTGGCTCCAAAAAGTACATGCATTGCTCGAGCGCTGTCAAGAACTGCCCAAAGGTGCAGGGCGGGGCATTTCGAATCACAACAGCAACAGGACATTTTCCGCGAATTTTTGCACTGTTCGACTTAGTATCATAACATTCACAGAAAAATTGCATGTCCATCGCCGGCTCCGAAATCGTGGGGGAAAGGTCAGGCGAGCTTGGTTGCACCGGTCAGACTAGAGTTCAAGGTGGAAAGCTCCATTCTTGTTGTATACTTGACACCATCTCTTTACCATCACAGCCGGTCTTGTTCATCATCATGGAGATCGACTTGTCCAACCGCGATCAGATCTCACAGTCTGGTGGTGAAGCCATCGCCTTCCCGCTACTTCAGCTCATCAGCGAAGCTCGTAACGAACATGGTATGCGTCAGCAAGATCACGCTCGGTACCGAAGATACTGTGCGTCCAAGGTCCACCGACTCCGCGAGCTGCTCTCCTTGACTCACTCTGATGGTTCTCAAAAGGCTGAAGCCAAGAAGTCCAAGGCTGCAAAGGCGGTCAGGGGCAAGAAGCCCAAGAAGGCGCAACAGGCTGCTGCTCAGAGCGCCAACGCCAAAGGCCATGGTAACGTCTTCACGGCCAAGAAGCTCGACATTCTGCAGGTGAACGACGCCCGACCGGCCCACCTCCTCCTTTTCGAAGCAGAAAGGGCCTGGGCTTACTCTCAGGAGCTTCGCTCTGAAGCCTTCGACGATGAGTCCAACCCTCAGCTCCGCAATCGTGGCGTCTCAAGACTTCGGCGTGCCGAGCAATGGTCTAGGTCTCTTCACCAGCTCGTTCAGGTTCTTTCTGCTCGCTTCGATGTCTTCTCTCGCGCTGAGTCTGCCGCGTACTTGCTCATCATCAAGGCAACTACTGCTTTCGACCGATCTCAGTGGGACAATGCTCTTCAGGTGCTCTCCGTCGGTCGTACTCTGCTCAACGCCATCGCCACCAACAGCCCAACCAGCCGCGCTGAGGCTCTCGCCAACAGCTTTGTCGACGCAGGTGAGGCGCAGATGCGCTACTCTGCCTACCAACTCGGCAACTCTGAGCAGGACATGGACAAGATCGCTGCTTCAACCGCCACGCCCGAGCTATGCCAACAATTCCTACCCGAGTACCCGCAGCTCATAGAGGAGCTCACAGCCGCCAAGGCCAAGGCTGGAACCGGAAAGAAGCAAGCTCTCTCTCTCAGTTGGCACGGACACCAAATTCCTGTCCGCAACCCGGAGCTTCTCGACACCATCATCTCCGCTCAGTCTGAGGACGCGGCTCTGCGCGAGTCCATTGCGGTCGAGGCCGTCGCGAACGCCTACACTCAAGCAGCTCCCGCCCGAAAACACAACACATCTGCTGCAGGAAAGAAGGAGGGCAAGCGCGCTCGCCTCTCGCACGCTCAGCGCAAGGCCAAGAAGCGTGACATCGCAAACGGTGATTTCGGTGCTGACGGTGCACGCACTGCTTCCACCTCCACCGTTCGTCTGGGAAAGGCCGGACGTACCGAGCTCGATCCCTTCGACCGCGCTCTCAGTGCCTTTACCGACGCCGAAGATGTCGCTCGCAAGCTCGTGGAGGACAATGCTGAAGCGCTTTCCAAAAGCCACTCTGCCAGGTATGAGACTGCCAGCAAAGATCTTCAGACCGCCCATGACTTTATCTTCTATCGACTGCTCGCTCTTCGTGTCTGGCGCAACCTTCGTCTGGTTGCCGAAGTCGAACGACGTGCCGAGAAGCGTGAGAAGCGTGCCATGTCCAGCGTAGAAGCTCGTCTGAGGGGCAAGGGAAGCAAACCTCCTGCTGACTCGACCGCTCAGAAGCGCAGCAAGAGAAGCAGAAGCAAGCAGCAGAAGCTCGACCAAACTATTGCTGCCAAGAAGGCCGCTCCTCGCAAGATGACTCCTGTCTCCAAAGTCAAGAAGTCAAAGCGCTCACACAACCGCAAACCAGCCAGGAGCGGTACTCGAAAGCTTCGCTCTCGTCAAGCTTTAGCCCTCGAAAACAGAGCTCGCGCCATCGCTGCTCAGAAGTCCAAGCGCCGTGGTGCCCGTGCTGTTCCTTCGCTCGCGCGTCTTCTCGATGCTGCCGAAACTAGCCTTGTAGCAATGGGCTCTATTCAACTCATCGAGTCCGAACCAGACGTCTCCTCCCTCGTCGAGGCCAAAGCAGCTTGGTTCCGCAGCGAAATCTTGCGTCACCTCGCTCGAGCATTCTCCCTATCCGGAGGTCACGCCGAAGCAGTACTGCTACTCACCCGAGCTCAATTGTACATTCGTCAAGCTCGCCAGGCTGCTGATCTCGCCGAAGATGTCGACGAGGAAGATGCCGACTTCCCTCCACGTCTCAAGTCCAGTGCTGGAACCGTTGCGGTATTCGACCACTCAGATGAGGAGCTCGCTAGCTTGAAGCGCCGTCTGCAGAAGGACATGCTCAAGGCGCAGAAGGGTTCGAACAAGGGAAAGACGCAGAACAAGGGCAAGAAGGGGACCATGTCCGACTCTAGGGCTGGTCAGGCACTGCAGGAACTGGCTAGGAAGTATATCGTTTTCGATCCCGTGTCCCTGCAGGAGGCTCAGCGCGTCCCTCCAGATCTTCGGGCAGAGTTCGAGCAAGAACAACAAATTCTTGCTGTTGTGCCCAAGGCTCAGCCCAAGCCCGCTGCGAAAGCTAGAACCGTCAAGGAGGCGTCCAAAGTTCAGCCCAAGCAGTCTGAACCAGTGCAGCGCGTAGAACAATGGGACAACGAGGGCGAAGCTGAACATTTCCAAGACCATGACGATGACGATTCTGTTGTCGACGAGGAAGGTGAACTCTCGCTGGCCTATGACCCAGCAAACACCCTGGCCGAGGAAGAAGAGGCCCGGGCTAAGGCGGAAGCTGCTGCCAAGAAGAAGGGCTGGTTGGGAGGCTGGTTCGGCCGCGGATAAGGCCCCTGCTGACACGTATATTCCTGAGTGGCTGTTCAGAGCATACAATATCTGCGAAATGGCCTTGTCCCTTCTCTTGGTGCCGTTCCGTTGTTTGTCGCGTGCGTGTCGTGTGACGTAAGAGGTATTGAATTTGTGAGACTGAGACGTTGCTGATGCCTGTCGTGTTGAGTGTAATTCCGAAATATTATATATATTGACATATGTTAAAATTTGGAATAATGTTAGGCGTCGTGGCGCAATGGCTAGCGCATAGAGCTTCTATCACATTCCAAAGGGAGACACCTCCCGATCAATCAATTACTCTAAGGCTGCGGGTTCGAGTCCCGCCGACGTCTTTTTTGCGCTCGAACGACTCTGCGACTTTTTTGCGCCAAATTACTCTAAGGCTGTGGGTTCGAGTCTCGCCGACGTCTTTTTTGCGCCATTTTATTGGCACCACGACACGCGAGAAAGTGAGGGGAATTCCCTCAACAGATTTGGAGCAAGATCGATCAGAAAATGGCCAAGTAATGGCAATTTTAAACTTTTCGAGATGGTGTCACTGACGCCTGTCAGACATTGCCACTAGTCAACTCTCTTCCTGCCAGCTAAACTTGAATACAACATCAACCTACCAACTCATCCAGCCCTTGCGCAGCCCAACATAACCGCCACGGCCCATTTTGGACTCCTTTTGGATGGTTTGAAGGGTAGCAGCGTTCTCAGTAGCACCGCAATGTTAGTGCCCCACCAACTGTTAAGGCCGTAGGGTCTAGGTACCGCTGGGCGGCTACAGCCGGAATAGGGTCTACGGGTACGGAGAGGTCGTAGGCGTAGGCGACACAGGCGGTCGGGGGTCAGGACACACCACTGCGTTGCTATAGAGCTAACTAAGTAATACATGCGACGAGGTCCGGAGGCAACCTCATGTCAGGCGGGGGCGGGGTGGTAAGGTCCAAGAACTATCGACCACCTCCCGTGCCAACTGCAGTAACTACCTCCCACCGCGGCGCTACAATGTTAGATTGCCAACCGCCATATTCTGCTTACAGAGGGGCCAGCTGCGGTTGGACAGTAGGAGGGTTGTGTTAGGCCAACCGCTCCTCTGCGAGGGATCCGGAGAGGATTGGTCATGGCTCAATCGCGACGATTGCTCAATCGGGAGGGGGGCCGAGCGCCCACTCTTTGGACTACGGTTGGTGGGGCACTAACACAAATGTGATGCTATCAACTGAAACCAAGCTGAATTTGTATCTCCAACAGCAGACAGAACAGGAGATGGACAAGGCCTCAAAGGCGTTGTGAGTTTGGGTCTGTGGGATGCAAAGAAAGCTTGAAGTGCACCAACAACATCCAACATCTGGTGCCTTGTGATTCAACTTTACCTGTCTACCTTTCCCTAACGTCATATTTCTTCACCAGATAACACATCCTATCCCAGAATTTTATACTGTTGTCCTCTTGCTACGCCAAAGAATGCGAGCAGCAATCATGCTTTTGGTAATTTTGCTCACAGGAATGTGACTGAGCGGCTTGTGCGCCAATGAACGGTGTTGGAATTATGAACACGGGCGTTGGGACATTCGGCCTATGAAAGGAGGGTTTAAGATTCAACGTCCGACATTCGACGTTCGAGTGTGGAGGTTTGAGGCAATTTACGGGATCCATACGCCCTGGCCAGCTGCAGCCATCTTATCGGGATAGGGTCTGATGCCATCTCTTCGATTCTGCCTTCCGTCCACAAATACACTGCAACAACTCTGTCCTAGCATACAAACACTTTCAGAGGCGGGCGAAATCATCACAGCACATGATGCTTTAATCGAAGCAGTACAGAGTCGAGACGAGGGATCACCGCCACCATACCTTCGACAACGAGCAAAGACAAGCGGCGAGCGGGCCCGTCGTCGGCCTCCTCCCTCCCCTCGTTCCGCATTTCTCCCCCGACCTCATCGGATTCTGATGTTGAGCTTGACACATTCTCCACTCCTGTGATCGAAAACGCTGCGCCACACACTCAAGAGGCATTTATACAAGGTGCATCTGATAGATGGAATGAAATTGGTGGTACCAAGATGACAGATCCTGCCACTGCTATCGTTAATACATCTCCTGGCTCTCATGCTGATGGTCGAAAAACAGACCTGCTCAGCAAACTCGATCGGCTTCATCCACCCCGAACCGTGTCCCCACCCTACGATGAAGCAGACGACAACCTAAGTCCATTGGACGATTCCGACCTGGCTTCTGGGCGCTACCTAGCCCGCTTGACCGCCGTAGCATGTTTAGGTGGCCTGCAATTTGGCTGGGACACTGGGATAGCAAGCGGGATGCTGGTCGCTATCCATTCCGATCTTGGTCACGATCTCACCGAAGGGGAGCAGGGTCTGATCGTGAGCGCTACCACGGTTGGCGCCATTCTCGGCTCCATTATCGCTGGTCGTGTAGCTGACTGGCTTGGCCGGAAAAAAGTCATGATCGCCTCCGGAGTGCTCTTCCTCCTTGGCGCTCTGGAGCAAGCTGCATCGCAAGTAGTAAGAGAGCTCGTTCTCGGTAGAATGCTGGTCGGTCTCGGTGTAGGCATGGCAAGTATGGTTGTGCCAACATACCTAGCCGAAGTAGCACCGACAAAAGTAAGAGGCAGATTGGTCGGCATCAACAATTTGCTAGTGACAGGCGGACAGGTGGTGGCGTACGTAATTGATGCAGCGTTTTACAATTTGCCTCATGGATGGCGTTGGATGGTGTTAGCTGGAGGTGTGCCAGCCGTAGCGCAGTTGATGGGGATGATTTATCTGGACGAATCGCCGAGATGGTTGGTAGCCAAAGGGAGGCTGATTAGGGCGAGGAAGGTGTTGCAGAAGATATATCCAGCTGCGAGTGTCGCAATGATTGACATGGAAATCGAAAGAATATCCCTTTCTATGGAAGGAACGGTGCAAAGGGAAGCGTTTGATCCGGATGCAGATGCGCAGTATGATGATCAGGAGAGCAACACCCTTCATGCAACTTTGGATCATATCACCTCGGCCCCCGCGCAACTCTCTCACAGCACAAGTGAGGTCAAAAGCAAACTCAGCCAGCTCCTGCAAAACCCTAATCACCGTCGAGCGCTTGTGATAGCTTGCGGATTGCAGTTTTTCCAACAGGCCACTGGATTCAATAGCCTTATGTACTTTTCGTCCCGACTCTTACTCATGGCTGGATTTGTCGCCAATCCCAACGCGGCGGCGGTGGGCATTGCAGTTGCCAACTTTATGGGCACCATCGTTTCTATGCGATACATTGATGGGTGGGGACGGAGGAAGCTGCTTCTCTACACCACTTGTGCTATGACGTTTTTACTTGCGTTGGTTGCGATAGGTTTCAGTCAAATCGATGTGGGGCCTATTACAGGCGATCCCGATATCACCCAAACTACCACTGGGGGTGCTTGGCCGTACCTCACACTCGCATTCATGGTCGCCTTCACCTTTGCTTATGCACTCGGACTCGGGATCGTGCCTTGGCTAATCCAGTCAGAAATTTTCTCGGGTCAGGTGAGGGGGATTGGGGCAGGCTTGGCAACAGCCACCAATTGGAGCACCAATTTGCTGGTCAGCGCCACATTTTTGCATTTAGTCAGGGCGATCAAACCTCATGGCTGCTTTGGACTGTTTTGTGTAGTAGCCGCATTGAGTTGTGGATTCACGTGGTTCAAGGTGCCAGAGATGAAGGGCGTCAGTCTGAGCGATGTGGATGGGTCGTTTGGTGGTAGGCAAGGAAATTATCAAGCCGTCGCTTTGGCAGAAGCGGTTGATAATTAGATGTTTTCCACATTCACAGAATCACACATAACTGTTCAGCGTGATTCTGAGTTGCCCACGAGCAGGGGACATGTGTGTGAATACGTGAATGAATGCGATCTCTTCGTGTTGCCAGTGAAAGTACAAGAGTGTAATTCTAACGAGGGAGGAGATTTTTCTTAGCAGCACTGCCAACAGAGTCATTTTGACTCTCATCTTCAGTGTCATCTTCATCAGCGTCAAGGATGAACGGTGATGTGGCTTGATCGTTCTTGTTGGCGTTCTGCTCTATGTCATGGTATGACTCTTGGGTGGTGGCGTGTTGGTGCGATTCACTCGCGCCGATTCTTCTGCTGCCGCCCGTTTGTGTATCTTCACGAATGTGCTCTTGTAGCGACTCGCTCTCAATCGCCGTCAAAACCTTGTTTGTCTCTTTCCAGACGAACCAGCCGGTTGCAACACCAACAGCACTGCCCACTAAAATGTAGATGACGTTCAGGGCTTTTGCCCAACCATCCAACTGCATCCTTTGATCGCGATCCATTAATATGAACATCCTGGTCCCCAGCCATACGTGCAGGAAGAGCTTTGGTGTGATCAAAGCGGTTGCTGTGACAAAGTGTGTGAAAGTAACTGCATCTACCAGACTGGCAAAGAAGAGGTTGGAATATGCAAAGGGAAAGGGGCAGAATCGGATGAGGATGGCCATGGAGAGGCCGCGGCGGCGTACTGCTGTAGAAAGGGCTACGTACTTTGGATCGTTGAGGGTATTGCTAATCCATGATACTCGCTTGCTGTGGTGCACGATGAGGAATCGTAGAACGAAAAACGAAACTGTTGCGCCGAGAAGGCACGAAATAGAAGCAAGGAGCCATGCTTGCAAGAGGTTTCCCTTCAATTCGGGGTGGGAAGAGGTCGCTTCTGCATGAACGCCCCAACCTAGGCCGCAAAGTGTAATAGATGTGCCGTACCCGATGAGAGGCGGGAAGCTGACAATAATAATAAGCGCGACGAGGAGGACAGCGCCAAACGATCGAGAGCCGAACCAGATGGCGAGTTTGGCGGTGGCGTCAAACATGGCCTCGGGACCGATGTAAAGGACCACGCCAAAAATGAGAGCTTTGACGCCTACGGCGAGGTATATGATATTGCGTTGCTCTGTTGGCAGTGAGAGGAAGGTTTGATATGTTTGATCTAGGTAAGAGCGTCCTTGAAGGTAGGCTGAGCGAATGTAAGATGTATAAATGGCAGTGGCAGGATGCGTGTCTTGCCGTAATGGAGCATATCGAGCTCTGTGCGGGTGTGAAGCCGGCATAGTTGCGTCTTGCAGTATGAGCGGTCAGAATATCTATGCGGAAGTCTGACTCGTGTGCTTGGACGTTTGACCGTTCGAGTGGGTCGGAAATATGAGTCTGATTTTTGGGTATCTTGCTGTAAATGATTGTTTGATGGTGACTGGAGGAAGTCGTCGCTGCCCTAAATCAGCCCGACTTGTACACCAGAGATATGACAAGGTGGTGGTGATGGGATGCTTACGAGGAGATGAGGTGGATATGATGATGGCGTTGGTG